AAAAAAACAATCTACACCCCGTTTTCTCAATATAAGAGACACTCCTTCAGTTTTTTTAAATGGAGTATCTTTCGTATATATTTGTCGTTAAAAGATCTATACATAAGATATAAAATAACCTCTACAGTACACTACAATACATAATGTTAGAGAAAAACACCGGTGGGATTATGAAGAATCATTCAAGGAAATTTTTTCAGCAGATTGAATCCTCTTCTGTCTTAAAAGTGGATAAATATAACATGAGAATAAAATTTCTGTGACGAAAGCGAGTATTGCAAGTCCAGTAAATGCGCCATAAACAATGAAAATTCCGGCCATGCTGTCTATCTGTAGTTCTGTGGCAGTTTTCTTCGAATGTAGTGCGTCACACTCGCTTCCAAGAGGCCACCATTTGGAGCGAAATTTGGCAATTAAACCTGCCTCTATCATTGTAATCATACTAAAAAAAAAAAATTACAATCATACATATCAGTAACAAAGAAATTTTAAAATATGTTTTCGATGTGTATTGAAGCAATTATTACCATCTTCATGTAACTTCTCTTTTTTATGTCCCACCTGAACGGATTAATTTTTTTTCGGAGATAACCAATTATTTGAAATACCAAGATTAAAATACATAAAACAAGTGGTTAGGACTTTTAACTCAGTTCTACTCATTCATGGTATTCGATCTTTCGAATTTCGAGAGAATAAGATTCAACTGTACTTACTGTAAATTGAATGCTGTTTTGAAAGCATCTTCTTAAATGAATAATGAAGGATAGTCCTGCTTTATTAAAAGTCTCTTCAGCAACCAACATATTTTGACAATCTTTTAAAACTTTATACGTAAGTTGGGACACATCTGTCATGTAGGCGTATTTTCCTGTTTTTACCAAGTCGTATCCTGCCTCTGTAGTCTTAATAACAGGCATGTCGTCCATTTTTTCTCTTATTTGCTTGTATAATCCACCTTTTGCTCTCTGTTAAAATTGATATAAATTTGATACTTAAAGACAAAAGATATACTCAAGCATTTGATAGATAAAGATAATATACATGTAAGCAGAACTTTTAAGACAAATTTACCTTGAAAAGAAAATCGAGATTCGAACCCGTTTTGACCAATGGCTTGTAATCAGATGATGCAGCTAATTGCTCAAGATTCTTTATTGGTGATTTCGCTGGTGGTATTGTAAGATAGGCTGCCAAGTTTGCAGTATAAAGTTCCAAAAGAAGAATTGTACACATCCACCAAATACCGAGCACCACTTTACCTGAGGCTGATGTAGGAGTTGAGTCTCCACCAACTGAAATAAGGAATAAAAATTGAGTCTTTGCTCAATGGAGTACACAATAACTTTCAACTACTAATTTAGAGCTTTTCTCAGAATATTTAATTCCATCCATGGTATGTTATAGATTAGGCGATAATGACAATAAGCTAGAAAGGTGTAGAAAGCTTTTGACCCTTAGATGAGGCACACTTTTATTTACAAGTTTCTCTTATATAATAAGCAAGACATGAGCTTTTAGGGTTCTGTTAATATAACACACAGAATTTGCAGATATATCCAATGAACTGTTCAAAGCAGTGGTCATCAGAATGTTTGTACACGGGTCTCAAATGTCTACCTGAGATTGATAAGATAGTGATGAAAACATACTTTGACCAAATAAGGCTCCAAAGCCAAGCCAAACATTTTGATGAACAGGTTTATCTGCTTCTCTTGTGTACGGACTCAGTCTGGACACAATAGACAATATGATTCCTGTAACCACAATAGATATTCCAGTAAATCCAAGAAGTAGACTGAAATGGTAGAAACATCCGAAACATCAGGTCAGCTTTTTGATCAGCCTTTTTCATGATTACCAACCCCTTCTTCTTGGAAGGGTGTTAGAAAGTCAATAACTGTTTCTCTCGAGGCGGTAACAGTAAACGGTCCTACCCCTATATCGGCCTCCTAAAACAAAAGCGTTAAACTTTGTAAAATAACGATTTCAGCATAATGCATTACACAAATAACACAGATTCATTCAAATTACAATGTAAGTCATAAGTAAAGTACATTTGTTAACACCTCAGCAGAGGTCTATTTCTTTCTTTTTTTAATTCACAGATTTTATTTGTGTTTTCACATATACAGTCTGAATTAATTTTCATTCAGTACAAACTTTCATTTCTACTTCCTTATAATTCATATATTTTATATTCATATGATATCGTTAAAAATAAAAATTGGTATGTTTATCTGTCATTTGTCTTATCCCTTTCTAAAATCATTATCAAAATTTTCCGATTAAATTGTATTTTCTCTATGTTTGGTGATCAAAAAGTTCGCAAACTATCATATCTACAAAACAGTTTTTTTTTCACAATTCAGATTAGACATAAATTACACACATTACCATACACAAGGCCTATAAATAGCATATGCTGAATAAAAGTTTCTCTCCTTTTTGTGATGCACAATGTCAAAATGACGTCACTATTTAGGTCACTTGTTGACGCAAAATGGTTGTCTCAGTCGAATTCGTTCACCAAACACTGTACAATTTATTGTAATATCTACCCTCTACCGTATCATATAATAATTTGTACACAGTTTATTGAGATAAATGAGTTCCTATAAAAATATATCTTTATATTCATTTTAAAAGTATTTTGACAACATTTGCATATATAAAGATCAGTACGAGTATTGTCTACTAAACATCTTAAAGGAAGAAACCTGAAAAATATATCTTTATATTCAAGAACATTTTTGACATTTGTATATATAAAGATCTGTATGAGATTATTTTCTGGGGTTAAATAAGATCTCTCCTGAGACAGAAACATTTGTTGTACTTTGCTTATTTTTGGAAATACTTTATCTTACAATGGCTTCCAATTCTATTTTAAATTGGAAATTGGAAAAATTCATTTTACAATATCAACATCAGAATAAATAGTTTGGTCTGTCAGCCTGTCTGTTGATTATGTTGTTCCGCAAAAACTTTAAGCATATCCACCACTTTTGAATGGTTAGAGCTATTGGTATCCTATTTCACAATATACAAAACATTTCTTTTGCTATCTATATTTAACCTTTTGACTTTGATTTTGGAGTTTGACCCACTAGAAAAATCTTGAGCTCTAGTCATATACATGTATCACACAATTATTCCTTATGACAAGGTCTTTCTTTTCGGTACCCATATGTTTTATCCTGGCTTAGAGTTTGACGTACATTTGTGAAAAAATACCCTTGCCGTTAACATCTGAACGGTTGATGCTAGGGCTTTAAATTTTTCACCTATAATTTCATGATGCATGTTGCCTCAATATATTTGATGAAAACAGTTTGACTTATGTCCTTGGAGTATTATCTTTTAACAAATTTTCTAATTATCTGAATGGCTGCTGTTTTTCAGATATGTATGTTTTCAATTCGATATACCTTAAAAAGTATAGTTCTTGACCTCTCTTTTCGAGCTAATTATATCTCTTCATGTTTCACCTCTGAAAATATATTTTTGAGACACGTGACTTATTTTAAGTTGACTCTGTTACATGTACCCCTTATGCTGATTTTAACTAAAGAATCATTAGTACTAGTCTCGTTCTCACAAGAAGTCAATGAGAATGTTGACCTTTTAGCTAGAAAAGTGAGTACTTTTCGACTCTGGAACAATACAATTTCTTTTCCTAAAGGTACCAAATTTAGTAATCAAACATCAAACTTGTGATTTCTTTCCCTAAAGTCTCTATTACCATCACATTCAATCTGGCAGCTGCCTTGCGATATTAGTACACTTGTAATAACTGATGTGGTAGGATATCCTCTAGGTATATTCCTATATTCAGCTTTAGCTATTTCACGTCCCAGCAATCAAATGAATATTTAAAACAGCTTAACAACGCATTGAAATTCCCTGAGCCTGCTTTTCCGATCCATTCGTATTTAATCAAAATCCGTACAACGTAGAATACAGCTTAAAGGGTGAAGTGAAGCATAGGCAATTTAACTAAGTGATAGGTGTGTTTGATCAATATCATTGATGAAATATTTTTTTCCTCCGTTTATAAGCTAATATAAGTAAACATTATTGAATAATTTATTTTATTCAAACTCTGATTATTTGGTTGTGACATTATTAATCTAGATGACACGATAAAACATTCCATTTCCTGACTATGGTGAGTTAAATGGCGCCTGATGAGAGTAAATTATAAAAAACTAATTATTAATATGTATAATCGTCTGTTTTCAATGTTATTAATTATAGACAAAAGTGATATTGATTAAAAAAGTAATTATTTCTATTAAAGATGAGAAAAATTTAATTTTTGATTTCATGCAGGTACCTTTTGAAAGGTATCAATCGTATTATTCACATTTAGTGCAGTAAAAATCACCGCCATCTCATTTTCTCCGTTACTGGAATTAAGAAACGCCTCCATATTGCTGACATTGCAAAGAAGAAAAGTACTTGAGAAAATAGCAGCAGAACTAAATTGATCCACCAAATGCTGGATACAATATTCATCTGTAAGAAAAAATATCGTATTTGTACGAAAGCCCAGAAGGCTCATTCGAAATTCGAGATTCAAAATACGAGATTCAAAATTCGAGATTCGAAATTCGAGTTTCGAGATTCAAGATCCCGATTAACCAATCAAAAGCGGGTTCAACATTTGATTACTCCCTTTTATTATGATTTTACTATCAAGAAATCGTTGAATATATTTATAACAAATGAGTCATTTGATTAAATTACAATGCAAGAAAGAGTGTTATATATATTAGAGGGAAATTTAAATAATCATTGAATTTTTGATCAGCAAGATATACTTCAATTTATGTTATGGCTTCTTAAATATTAAATAGAATACATATATCAAGAGTATATATATTTTTTGTATTGTCTACTTTGTTTAAGGGGTTGATGACATATAAATAAAGTTATAAACAAGTGTCAAGTGTCTAAAGATTAACAATAACCGCACTCCTACCCACCCCACCTGCCTATTTTTCCAAACACACTGAAAATGTTCCTTCGTAAAACTTGAAAGGCGACGTAGTATTGATAAACAAAAATCGCATTCGTTTTCCTGAGAGAGGAAATACATAAAAATTTACTTATCTTCATCTAAGGCTTTGATTTCTTGAATTAATTAAAAATTATGTCTACAATACAGATTGGCAATATGAATTAAAATAAATGCCGCATTTATGTTTTCTGATATCAAATAGTAGATGAGTCTAAATTAGATGCAGAACTATAGCGTTATGGTTTTATATTTTTGTCTCTGACCATATCGTTATGGCTGAAGACTAAAATATACTCGTGAAACCTTATAACGCTACAGTTTGATTCAGCAGTCAAGTCTCACTGCACAAATGTACCCTTTATAAATGTAATGAAATATATACCCTTGAATTACTGTGCAGTGTAAGGGCGATTCATAATACTTCGTATCTAATTATAATCAAATACAATCTCGCTCAGCAATGATCTGATAAAAAAAAAAATAGTCGACCTACTTGTTCCGCAAGTCAATGATAAGACCATATAATAGTCCATATATATGTATTTACTATTTTGTTTAATGAGAAAAATAAGATTATATATGTATTTTTCAAAATGTAATCCAAATTTTATTTTCATTTCGTTTTAATACATAAAACATTTTTTCTTGCATTATCATTTTAGCAAATGACCCATTTGAAATAAATATATTCAACGATTTCTTGATAGTAAAAACATAACAAAGGGGAGTAATCAAATGTTGAACCCGCTTTTGATTGGTTAATCGGGATCCTGAATCTCGAAACTCGAATTTCGAATCTCGAATTTCGAATCTCGTATCTCGAATGAGCCTTCTGGGCTTTCGTAGATTTGTGCATATTAAACATTCTGACATAATGATGCGAATGCCAATATTGTTGATACCGGGTAAGTATTCTTTAAACAATCAAATTCTTTCAGTTTTATTCAATATAAGCAAAATGCATTACATCTATTAAATCTATTTGTCTTTTAAAAATGAGGCATGAGTCTTCTCTAGTTAAGATCGAAATAAAGAGTCCAAATATCTTTGTTATATGTCGTGTTTACAAAGTAATGATTGTGGGGAAAATAACATAGGGAAAAAAAAGATTTTCTCCATGGCTCATTGCTAATAGAAAACAAATAGTTACTTTAATTTAAACATAACATTGGAGACCTCTTTTAATTAGAATGTTAAACAGAATGTTCGGATTCACTACTGGTTGAAAAAAAAAGAAGTGATAAAAACAAACCGTAAGAGTTGTCATAAATAACGTTGACTGCTTTCCAATTTTTATGTGACGCAATAGAAAGAAACGCTCTGTTTATCAGACGACAGTCCTCAAATATGGATAACATTGGAGGCGAGGATGGTGTGATGCATGGTTTTTCATCTTTGGTGATAAGTACATGAGGTAGATTTAATGAGCTGGCATGATTGCTGAAGACAAGGCCCTTGTTACAGGAAGTGAATGTAATGAATCCTAAAATCTCAGTTCCTGATAATTCACACACTGCAATGAACAATGTAAAAGGATATGTAGAGAGGAGATAACTATTAATTGAGGATGAACAATAGTAGATTTTGTCCTTTTTATACTAACGACTTATTGTTTTATTTAAATTTAGTTTTGAATACTGTATACAGGGTTTATTTTTGCACCAGATTATTTTCGTCCTTTCACACTTGAAGACAATTTTGCTTCGTTTTAAATTTGTCCAGTCATCGTTTTATTTCAGAAACTATACTGTATTCTTTGAATTAGTCCCGTTTTAAGTTCTCCCAAATGAGGGTGCGGCGAAAATAAAATGGGGGGTAAAAATTTCCCTGTACACAGTAGATCAAACATACAACAGTCATAATGACATAATTACCTTTACATGTGAAGTTGAAAACGTCACTTCCGTTGAGGTAATATTGGTATGTCGTGACATTGTTTGTAGGCAGAGAAACGTTGATAGTGGGGAGATCTTGCAAAGACCACTCGGATAAATCATACAAAACACCTAAAATGGATAGTTTTTTGTTTTACGCTTTAATAATTGTTTAATCTTTTCTTCAATTTCAAATAAAAATTACGTGAACAAATATGTTTAATTATCAGTTCATATTATAAATATTTGAATTTCCGTAAATAAATATATTAACTACTTTTTGCGGTTATGCAAGACGAAGATTATTTCGTACATATATGAATATACATAGGTCTATATATGCTGGCTTTTTAACTCTAAACTATAGATTATACTAAATTTATTTGCATTTAAATGAGCTGTAAAATTCTACATAATGACCTGAGATTTCTTTTGCCCTAAAATTAATGTTTATACTAAAATAATGCCAAAATCAATCAAAAGCACAAATTCAGAGTAGAAACAAACTTATTTCTGTTAACTACTCTTTCCTCAAACTTTTTTTTTTTCAATTTTTTTAAATTAGTGGAAAAATTTATGAAAATTAATCCATTTTGTCCTTTTTCCTCTTTGTATGTGAATGTTTTATTAAATTATGACTTCAATTGTCTCACTAAACTTAGGATTTCTCCGAAATTGGTTAAAAATAAAAAAAATCAAAGATCTTTTACTGAAGGTAACCAATGGAATAAATCTAGAAAACACTCAAAAAAGCAGGAAGTGTAAATTATACTCTATAACAAGTACTTATTTACAAGTATATTTTTAATTTATTTAAAAGTCAAATACTCACCGACATGGTATTTCCCCAGAGATATGCCAGTCTTCAGGACCAAGATGACAAAAATTTCGAATAACATTTTAACAGGGTCATGTCAACAATTTGGACATTTGTTAGAATACCTTTGGAGACTGGGAAAGTCGCGTTCGAATCGATAGTTATAGATAATGAACGTTAGAGACGCGTGGTCTAGTTGATGGAGCGATTCGGATTCAATATCTTACCGATTGGTCAAATTTTTAACAGACAAATATTTCAGAAAATTTACACTATATCAAGCACATCCAATACAATATTTTATGAAGCGTTCAAACTTTCGAACTGGGTGCATTTTTAGAGAAATCAGAAGTAAATTGTACTTAAACAAATTGATTTTTTCTTCCACTGATTGAAAATTATTTGGTGCATAATTAATAAAACATGCCAATCTTTTCAAGTAAGCATTTCATTTCTACAGTCAATAGTACAATGAAATGAAATATCATTACACATAACAAATAATGTCAATGGTGCATTGAATAAGTTATTTTATTCTTTTATATCTTGCAGAATATGTAAATCGAAAATCGATGCTATTTAAACAATCATTTATATTATAATGGTGTAAAATACTTAATGTTGTGGGAATATAACATCTTTGTATATTGTTAAGTTTTGAAAAGAAAACATTATTATCGAGACTTGCTTTGTTGTTGGATAATATTTGCGACACATATATACAATCTATAAACACATTAAGTAAAAGGATATGTAAACATCCCTCGATATGGAGCATAAAAAAAAGCACCAGAATTGACTTTCTTTAATTTAATATAGAGTATTGAACATGCTTATCTGATCAATAAATAAATCAAATGAAATGTATGTGTTTTTCCCTGATAACATTTGAATCAGTGTGGACTCAAGGAATGTTTTATTTCTGTTTTGTTGCCATTCAGACTCACTAGACTAAGTGTAATATTGTACACTGAGGAAATATAAATATAATTTGTTTTAAAAGGCTCGGATTCAGATTTCATGTTTTTCCAGTGATTAAGTAATATTTTTCAAAACCTTAAATTTATATATCTATATAAATAATATTTTGCATATTTCTTTCTTGCAGCTTTAATATGTAAAACACTGTATGGACATAAAAGAAGTGCCATATGATTTATTCTCGAATATGGAGAAGAAGATTTCTATTGCTAAAAAATTTAAGATATATAAATGAATTGAAGTACTGGAAGAACATGTGGAAGATTGATGAAATTTTTTTTTAGTAGTATGACCACTTTGAAAGTAATTTCGTAAAATAAGGTTCTATAGCAAAATACTGACTAGAATATAGGATTATCTCTTTTTTGTGACTAACATTGTTTACTGGATGTTTTTATTCAGTGGGTGTGGATAAACGACGATAAAAGTAATAGGCCAAATGTAGAAAAGCTTAAGACGGTAGGATGAATGCGGAAATACTAAAGTAATCAATATATTTGCTTATTTTGGAAATGTCCAATCAAAAGGGTTTGATAACCATAAAACATAAAAACTAAGATTTGTTAATATTGAAAGTTTGTATGGAATCGATATGCGTGGTTTCTTTTTTCTGTTTGATGCAATACTTCAATACAAACACCATACAAATAATTTTACGGTTAAGTTAAACAGCAATCACAAATAAATATTAAGGTTAATTTATCTACTATTCAATACATATTTATTATTTGATAATGAATAAATGTATACTCAGTATTATATCCACACTTATGATTAAGTTCTTTTAATTATTTGATTAATTGTTTTATTTATATAAATTCTCAGACTAGTAGTTATTTATTAATATATGTGAAGATTACTTACGAATTGTGAAAAAAGCCTATATTGCACTCACACTATATCACAACAATGTTGATACAGGTACGCTCAATAACAATGTTGATACATATATGCTCAATAACAATGTCGATACATGCATGCTCAATGTAATAAAGTAAGTGAATGAAAACTATTACACAAAGCTAGATAAGTGCAATGAATCAAAAGTCATTGAGTGGATATTATTTCCCAGATTATTGTCAATGAACAAAGAAATAATTTAAAACAATTGCTATTGCATACGAAATTATTCATTGCAAAAAAAAGAAAATCTGAGAAGAGAAAAAATAATTATACACAATTTGACAATTAAAATTAATGGACATGTGGTACAAAAAACCCCCAGTTCTTACCTTCATATGAAAGTGTCCATAATATGTGTGAATAATTAATTAGACACAGAGTATGGCCTGTGATTTCAATCAATAATGTTTATAATTTGAAATACCCATCGCTCATTTTACCGGGAAAAGCAATCCAATCGATCCATAGCTATTTAAGATTAGAAGTATAGTTTTGAGTTTTAGATGACATTTGTACACTAATTTTATATCAAATTATTATCAAATGTTTTGAATACAGTATTGATTTCTTTGTTTTGTCTCCTTATCGTGTTTTAGAATATACAGAGCATAGAGTTTTATGTCAGCTATACTAGTATATGACCTCTTTTAATCGAGAAGAAAATTAAAAATAACCTAAGAATTTTTAACATTATTGTTTTTTTTTTAAAATTAGCTCTTGATAGAATAATTTTTACTGGTTTCAGATTTTTATTCAAGAAAAATAAAAGATGTCGGATAGGACACAAATGGAACCTTGTAAAACTCGTTACAGGTAAACATTCGTGAGTGAATCGAAGCTGCATGTACACTGTGTATGTATACTGTACATTTTGTAATAACCTTTATGATAAATTAATCAAAAAACTAAAGTAAGTTCGCTGAAAAAACATAAGTTAATTCTTATTGAAAGAATTCTATTACAATTCTAATTAGAGGTACCTGACAAAAACCATCAAACTTTCTAAGCGAACCTCTAAAAAGCATTAGAGGCAGGAATAGGTCTTATGGAGAACTCAGCATCCCATGTCGACCGGTCACACCCCCCCCCCCTTGTGTTCTCTGTCCTGATCGGGGAAGTAGAAAAATCCGCCGTCAATTCATGTGTAAATAACAGAATAACGGTCTAACAATTAGTATGAACAACAACAAACTTATAACAAATTAGTTTTGCAGTACCCTCTACATCTTTAAATAAATCGGTAGATGGTTAATATGTGACATTGATAATATGCAAATTTTGAGAAGATTAATATTAAATCCATTTGTTTTAACAAAAGAAATAGATTGAAGAAAATGTCACATAAGACATGATAAACACATGTATATGTTCAAATAAAATTAAACTGGCAGTAATAAACACTAGTTAATTTTTTTATAACAGCAATGAGAAATGAAATATAACACTACACAGATCACATAATACTTGTACTAAGAGAGTCAAGAATGCAATAACAGCAGAATCATTTTGACTAGAACAGTTTCTATACTACATGTACTATGCAGGCAGTTAATCAAGTTTGTTAAAAGCTGTAAAATAGAGCGGAAATAACACAGATTGAAAGGAGAGATTTTCAGGATTTTGGGTGAAATACGAGGGTTGATCCAAAAGTACGTGGAATTTCTTCGTATTTTATTTATTTATAAGTGAAATTGGCTTAAAATTACAAGTGATAATATAGACACTTGTTGAATATTTAAAATACAAAAACATTTTGAATATTCATGATAGTAACTCTATGGAAGTTGCCATAGAAATGGTTGTTTGGAAACGCGGGGGAGACATTAAGGCGTTTGTTATCATTTTAATTCTTAATGCCTGAAATGAGAATAAAACCGCCTTTTGTGGTATATATAACGAAAATTATGCCATTATTATGATTGCTTGATCTTTTATAGACCTTTGTGTGAGAATTGTACTGATTTTATTGAATATTTCGTGTATTAGTCGATGGTTTATTGTTCATTTCAAAGTTGTTAGTCAACGTCAATTTTTCGGTCAAGTCATAAACTTTGTGAAAATCCCGGAATCACTCTATCCGAAACGCGCATATTATTAATATAGGCTGGGGGAAAATGCATTTAGTTACTCTTTGTCCATTGTCATAAAAAATTAAAAACAAATAGAACTTCCATAGATGTTGATTAAAGATGTTATGGTTTTCTGGAGGCTGTGTTTATCCCCCTTAGACAAATTTAAAGCGTTAGTGGACTTTGTCGGCTGACATACTGTTCTTGACATTGCTACTGAAATTGGAAATCATACAGAAAGATGGCGAGTATTTTAAAATATGAGTGAAAAATGAAGATAAGTTGGCGCGAGAGGATACCCAGGCTTTTCTTGAGAAAAAAAAATGGAGAAACAAAAGGGCAGTAATTTGTAGAATTACGTACTCGAATAGGACATTA